TCTCCAATGATTGTAGAACGAGTCCTGAGGGCTGACCTAGTTGGATACCCAGCTCTTGAGGTCAGCTTTGCCATACAGAAAAGCCAGCTGATAACATTGCTGGTCTGGTTTTAGTCCCATTAGATATGTCTGTCTCTGAACTGGCATAGTCAATCTTATACATCCTAAACGATTTATCAAGCTGCTTAAATTAGCCTGTGAGTCAGGTGGATGTCACACCCTGTGCAGAAATGCTGAAGCTGAATTATGTATGTCTTCTTTGTGCCCCCAGATTGGTACTTTTCTTGTCCTGGGCTTCTCTATCACAGCCCTCTTCATATTATCTGTACTCTGGGGAGATCAATGGAAAACCGTCCGCTTGTCATTCCAGGTAAGAGGGGTTGGGAGGTCTGTTTGAAAGAAAAACTTGTTTATAGAAGTATAATATGGCAATTGGTAGAAGATATTCTGTATGGTGGGTGGTTTTTTGCATAGCTTTTACTGGCAGGGTACATGGTTCTAAGTAAACTTTTATTATGACTTAACATTTCCTGATGGGAGAAAAGAAGCCAAGACCTGAGGTTGAGTTTCAAGCTGTCTGATGTAACATACCTCAGTTTGGGAAGTTATAGCCCTTTTTGTTGGTGTTGTAGTTTTGGGGTTTTATGTTTGTTTTGGGGTGTTTTTTTTTTTTTTAAAAAATGTTGTAGATGTACTGTTAAATTTCAGCTGTCCATAAGAGGTAAATCAGACCTCTTTGGCTGGTAGCGTTGCTGAAAGAAGAACTTTCTTCCTGATCAGGTCCTGTCAGTGCCAGTACAGTACAGTTAGCACTGGCACAACTTAAGTCTTCTGTGACTTCATCTCCTGAGAGCAGGACAGCACAGAGGTTTTGGGGAGCAAGTGGAGAATGCTAGTGTCAGGTGGGACAACATGCTGGATGCAAGAGGTCAGAGTGCATGGTTTCCCTCCCCCATGAGACTTAGTGCTTGTGAATGCTGGAGAGCAATGCAAATGGCCTGGAAGAGCCTGCTCTGCTCTACGGTTTGCTAACCATTGGGCTGTGCACTGGCAAAGCTAATGAGAAACCATCAGCTTCTTCTCCCCCTGGCTTACACCAGAGGATGTGGATGAGAAGCAGACACAAGAGCCTTTGGGTTCCCCACAGGTCCTGTTTATTTCAGGTGTCCATACCCTCTGAGATGGCCTCTCACTTCTGTTCCCAAAGGGCATGCTGCTCTACGGTTTGCTAACCATTGGGCTGTGCACTGGCAAAGCTAATGAGAAACCATCAGCTTCTTCTCCCCCTGGCTTACACCAGAGGATGTGGATGAGAAGCAGACACAAGAGCCTTTGGGTTCCCCACAGGTCCTGTTTATTTCAGGTGTCCATACCCTCTGAGATGGCCTCTCACTTCTGTTCCCAAAGGGCATGAATCTCTTGTAGATCCTGTGGCATGTCCATTAGCCCTGCAAATCTACCTCATGTGTCCTGGACATCTCAGATGGCACCTCTGTTTGTGCAACTGGATCCCACTTCTGGTAGAGAGATGCTGGGACCCAGTGTCTGGGCCAGACAGTATCACATGCTATAACACCTCTCAATGACTGCTGCTTTCTGCAACTCTTCCAGCTTGGAGAACCAGGCATGGACTAAGCTATAGGAAAAACTTATATCTGGACAGTTTTGTGTATTTTTATTTCTAGCACATATCTTAATAACTCTCACTTCTAGCTGGAACATTCACCACAGGGTGAGCATGAGGATGGGCATGATCATGATGGACTGTTTTCTTGCTCAGATTTGCCTACTTTTATGGAAAGTGTGTCATACCAATCACCATTGAGAGTCTGTACAAAAACTTTTTCTGCTTGGTTTCCAGCTCTGTTCATGCATTCATGATAAGCACAGAAGTGACTCTTAGGTTCTGATCTTCTGGTTTAACTTTTGTAATTAAAGAAATAGCATCTAATGACTACATCTTCCCAGCAATATTATCTATCTGCTTCTCTTATACTACAATAGTTAGTTTCATACAGGTGTGAATACCACATTTTAACACTCAGGTTTTTTCCCATCAGTTTAATGATTTAGCTGCAGTGTGGTGCACAGATAACCATTGGATCGGATTGTTTAGATTGGGATAAACTAGAAGATGCTCACAGATTATAACATATCAGTAATGGCAGTCGTGTCATAATGGATGAGGATAGTCGTGTCCCCCTCAGCTGACTTAGGAGAAAAGAAAGCAGTGAGGAGCACTCCTCAGCCTGGGTATCTGGCCTGGCTGAGGCACATGTCTCTCCTCCATATCCTAAGGTGTTTGGTGGATCCAACACAAGTGTGAGTGTGTGGTTAAGCTGCTGGTATCTGCAGCAAGAGCCCATCCAGGTGTAAGGCTGTATCTGTGCTGGGGTTTGTTGCCATCTGTCTTCACACTTCATCCTGTGACTAAAATCCTTTTCTCTCCTTGCCAGATCACAGCTCCCTATCTCCACATAGGGGCAATCGCCATCATGGTCCTCTTGTCCTGGCCTGTGGCTCTTCATGCCATCAGAGCAGATAATAAAGGTACAACAGCTCTGCTTCCTGCTCTCTGTATGACAAAAGATGTATACCATCATGGGGAAAGAGGCATGCAGGAACCCTTTCCTCCCACACCTACACTCCAGCTGGAGAAGACTTTTAAATTCTGTGTATCCCTGGGGTGAGGTTGGGGCTGTGCACTGTCCTGTTGCTGTACCAGTGTGCTACTGGTTTGCACACCCCTTGCACAGTTTTGCCCTATACAGAGGCAGTGACCTGCCTTGAGATGGAGCTTAGCAGAAGCACCCATGTTCTGAAAAAATTTGTTTAGTCCTCTACAGGAGAAAGCAGCTAGTGGCATCTCTCTTGGCTGAGGTTTGCTTGCTGTACACAGCTTAGCTGTGCCAGAAGGGATCTCCAGTCCAGTCAGTCAAATCACTTCAGACTAGCACACCTCAGGAGAAGTCAGCTGAGATAGGGGAAAGAAATTTTGATCAGTTCTTGGTGTTACCTCATGGGAAATTCCTGTCCACCTCTAGGAAGTATTGTAAGGTCAAGGACAGATGCCAGGAACAACTGCAGAAGAACTTGGATCTTGTGCTGGCTGTTTTTCTCTGGCCTTGTCTCTCCATGTAGCCGAAATTACCTACATGACACCCATCTGCAGATGTTGATTTGCAATAAAAATCACAGACAGAATGTGCTGGTGAAAGATTTTTTTTACTGCCCATGGTTTTTCTTATTGAGCTACAGGTATGGAGGTTTGGGAGGAATATGCCACCATGCCTGATATACTCCTAGCTCAACGCATCATCTTGGTGTAAACCTTCAGAGCCACTAGTACAATGTGCAGAGGAGTGGTGGTACATATTCAAGAAAGAGGTGTTGGTGCATAGGTGGTTGTCTCTGAGAGGAACTGTTTTGATCTTTGAGGTGAAGGCTTTCTGGGGCACTTGGGCAGTGTATCAACAGACTCCAGAGAAGACTGTAGATTAAGAGCTGAAAAGTTCCTGAGGTGCAATATCCATGCTCTCAGAGTCTGTAGGATTCTCTAGATCACACACAGAAGGTCACTAACAACATTCTGAATGAACTGGGGAAGTATTCAGCACAAGGAGATGTAACACAATTGAAGGAGAAAGGTTCCTCCCTTTCTTCATTGTAAATGAAACTCCAAAATAGTGCTTGTTCTTTTCTGAGTAAGAACAAAATTAGCATCCTTCCATGAAGGATTGTTTTCCTACATATGGAGAATATTTCATTGCATCTCCTCTAAAGAAAAAGAAACTAAGGCCATGTCTCGCTGTAAGACAGTGAGATATAATTAAAGCATAAAACCTGCAGTCCTGGCTTAGACAGTGTGTTTCCTTGCTTTGGCCAATTTGTTTTCCTGATTTGCATTGTTTGGAGAGAATGTGAAAATTGGGGATTGAAAAAGGCATGCAACAAAGTCCAACAGCTACTTAGATAGAGGATTGTATTACAAGTCAAGCTGCAAGGCAAACTCATATGTTACCATGTGGATTAACTCTAGCCTTCCTCCTTCAAATTCTCTCAGTTATTCAGGTGATAATCGTTGGTCCATACCTGGCTATCCTTCTCTTTCTTTTCTTGATACCTCTGGGGATGTACTCTCCTTGCATCAGAGAGACGGGAACACTCGGACCAAAGCCAGCCCTCATTGGACACCGTGGAGCACCAATGGTAGGTCTGGAGAAGTTATTTTATGTCATTGCTTCATCCTATGTCTTGCTATCTTCATCATCATCATCTTCTGTTGTTTGGCTTGTTTGGTTTTTTCTTCACAAAATCTGTGGAGGGTGTATGGGGAGACATTTCTGGCTGGAACTGCATGCTAAAGGCATCGCTGCAAGGGTTTGCTAACAAGAATAATGCTGTTCCTGTGGGAACAAAGCTAGGTTGGATGGGGCCCTGAGCAACCTGGTCTAGTGGAAGTGCCCCTGCCCATGGCAGGTCAGTTGGAACTAGATGATCTATCTTCAAGGTCCCTTCCAACTCACCCGTTCTGTGGTTCAGTGATTCTGTGACAAGATGAGTTTGGCTAAAGATTCAAAGAAAGAAAACAAACAATGTGATGACTTTAACAATATAATGATATTCCCTTAATAAAACCCAGAAGTGTTACAAAGAGACAGAAAGTACTTATAGAGTCCTCCAGAGTATGTGTGAAAATTATCTGCTCCTGTGCTTTTTTTCTTCAGCTGGCACCAGAAAACACTGAGATGTCATTTCAGAAGACAATTGAGCATGGTGGGGATGGTCTTGAAACAGATGTCACCATTAGGTGAGGGGAAGACTTTGCATCTCAGAGAATATATGCTGCTGCTTCTGAGAGTTGTCTTTGGATACGTGCAGCTCCAGGCGATTAGGTTTTACTGATGGCTGGGACAGGGTCCCTTAGTTGGCACATGATGATGGGGGCTGTAGGGCATGGTTGTTCTGAGGCAAGTCAATAAGCTGCAGCTATTGATTTAACAATCATTATTTCTACAGAATATTTTAGATGCTTGGCAGAATGTAAAGACAAGTACTTTCTCTAGTCTGACTACCAGGTCACAGCGAGGTTTGTATCAGGTCTACAAACCAACAGAAAATTGTGTTCAGACTTGTGACAACATTGTTCTAATTATTAGATCTTTAATTGCCCTTGTTTGTTGGACCTATTGCAATGAACTGCTAACATTCTGTGCAGTATGAGCAGTTTCCAGGCACTGAATGAAAAACACTGACACTTAGATGTTCTACTAATCTAGACCTTTCTATAGGAGAAAATTTTGCATTTCCATCACACTATTTAGACTTCAGTCCTCTGAAAAGCATATAAACACTTCAATGTCAGCAAAAAAAAATTCAACCATAAGTTACTATCCATTTTTGGGTGAGTTGGCAGGCACAAAGGTCACCATCTCCATGTGGCCCTTGAGAAAACTGAGGCACAGACAGGCATGACTTCTCTGAGGTCACCTGGAATTGTTTAAGCTGGAAATAACCTGGTCTTTTGAGCCTCAGCCTTCCTCCCTATCCCACCCTCTGCACTGAGGGAGGCCATACTGCTGCATTCATGATGGATTACATATTCTTCTGACCTGGCATGAGTATGCTCATGCTGTGGATCAACCTACACCAGAGGTGACCTGAATTCTTGCTTTCCAACAGCTATGATGGAGTTCCTTTCCTCATGCACGACAGCACCTTAAGGAGGACAACTAACATCAAAGAGGTGTACCCCAATGATACTGCTCAAAATGCTGCATTATTCTCCTGGAATACCCTGCAGAATTTGAATGCTGGAACATGGTTCCTTAAAGTAAGTGCCATAAAGGCCTAGAAACATTCAAGGTCAGGTTGGATGGGGCTCTGAGCAACCTGATCTGGTTGAAGATGTCCCTGTTCATTGCGGGGGCATTGGATTAGGTGAGCTTTAAAGGTGTTTTCCAACCCACGCTCTTCTATGGTTATATGACTATCACCAGCTGGATGTAGAGACACTGGTTGTCTACTACTTAACAGCATCAGTGTTAGAAGAGGAACTGCTGGTTCTGCCAAGACTCAAAGAAGTCAGTAGAATTCCTTCAGTTTGGATCTCTGTGGTTTGTCCAGTTGGCCTTTAGGCTTAGGAGACCTATAACAATTGGCTGGTGGGTGTTCTTGGGTCATCTTATCATGGCAGCAGCAGAACTCATGGGCTGGGGAAGAAGACAAGAGCTACTTGTGCAAGGTGTGTGTATAATAGAACTAACAAGGTGGGACAGAGAAGCACAGCAGAGCTAGCTGTGAACTATTCAGTTGAGGTCTCAGAAGCAGTGTCGTCACAGCCTGGGTTAATTCCCCTTTTTCCTATGTAGAAGAGATAAGCAAAATGGAATATCTCCACCTGCTGAGGACTGACGTCAAACTTTTTCCCTCTTAGAGACATGAGTTATTCACATGCAGCCTGACTCCCAGAGCTGACTGCCTGATTGATTTCCTTTTTTCATATCTGTTTATTTCTAGGACAAACCATTTGCATGCATGGGCTCACTGTCAAGGGCAGATCAAAACCAGGCAATGAATCAGTCCATTTACAAGCTAAGTAATTTCTTGCACCTTGCAGACAGTCAGAATAAACTTGTGATATTTGATCTCTACCGCCCTCCAGAGAAACATCCTTACAGGAACTCTTGGATCAACAGAACCCTGGAAGTCATTCTCAACGAGTCGGGGATCAGACCCCATCTGGTAGGGTGGCTTCACTCCATGTCCCTTCTGTTTGCTTTCTGAATTGGGACTTTGGGGTCATACCTTGCATGACTTCATCCTGCATAAAGTCGGCCCCTTGTGTTTCACTTGTTTTAAAAGGTGTCATTTGGAGCTTTGGTTCCTCAGCAGGTACAAAAGGGTGTAACCCTCCAGCAGCACAGGGAAATAAGGCAGTGTATGTACCAGCTGATGTCTTAGCCCCCAAACAGCACCCTTTCATCACTGTAATAATCAGCAGTCTACTCCCTGCCACCCATGCTTATTTTGTATATTGCATAGAAACTCCTGGTTTAAATTAAAGTACATGGAACTGGAGGCCTTTATTGCCTTCCTCCTTTGCCTGGCAATGGATGAATGTTAAACTTATGTTGATCAGGTTATATACCCATCTGTGTCCAGGAGGTTATGCTGATCTGTATCTGCTGAAGATCTTTTCTTCCATGCTGGAAGAATGGGAGAGCACAATATTTTCTGTTGTCTTTCCCACAAACCAAAGCTCTCTTTTCATTCATTACCAACACCACATCTTTTGTTGGGCTGTGTGAAATGTGCTCACTGGTTTCCAGTTGATAAGCAAGGAACAGTGGATACTTATTTCATGATGAAAGTGATTGCAAGTTTTAACCCTGCATCCCAATGTTCTTTGATCATTGGAAGAAACATGTCATTTGACAGGCTGGGTTAAGCCTTTCAAGATGTTATCTTTTCTGGGTTTGTGTGAACAGCAGGGCATATTAGGGGCATGAATTCTACTGCTGAGAACACACTGGTTTCTCTTGTTGCCCACAGGTCCTATGGCTGGAGAACAACATGAGGTCCTTTGTTCAGTCTGTAGCTCCTGGCTTTCAGCAAACAGTGGGCAGTAAGGCCCCAGTTGAAGATCTGTTAATGGGCAATATTGTCAAACTCAATCTGGCCTACACTGAAATGTCCAGTGAATATATCCGGTAGGTTTTAGTGACAAGTACAGTCTTTAGACTGCATCTGGACTATGTTTGCCTCATGCATCGGGCAATGTCTCCCTCCAGTGACCAGTTCCAGAATCTATAGAGTTTTGTGAAGAGCTCCTTTAGATCAAGTGGCCATCCCTGTTGTATTTTAAGGGCCGTCCCTATTGTATTTTAGGGTTCCTGACTGCTTTTCACTTCTACTGTTGACCAGGAGGTGGCATATATTACTACACTTCCCATGACCACATGTTGACCAGGATCTGAGGAGAATTAAACAGCTGTCTTCTGATTCCTTGTGTTTCTATTCATGCCATCCTCAGTCCCACCAACACCAAATCATGCAGAATGAACAACTATTTAACCTCCCACAAACATCAGTGAGTGCATAATGCTGTGGTGAGAGACCATCACCCTCTTGTAGCTGGTGTTTTGGTGACACCATTTCTTGTCTCTGTTACTACTAGTACTCTGTTACATGTGACACACTGAAAATGTCATTTCTCCAAGGGAAGGATCCACATTGATCGGGGTAGTTTCCAAAATGCTTCTTTCACATGGAAAAAAATTCCAGCAACAAACTAACAAAAAAACCTTTACCTGTCTGTCGCTCATATTGTAAATAGTATCTGATCGGGGTAGTTTCCAAAATGCTTCTCTCACATGGAAAAAAAACCCAGCAACAAACTAACAAAAAAACACGTTTACCTGTCTGTCGCTCATTTTGCAAATAGTACTTTTTGCTCTTTCCACAATGACACAAAAACATTGAAATATAATTGAAATAAAGAAGATAGGAAATGTATCATCCTTTGAATTAATGTTCATGTTTTCTCAATTATAAGCGTCACAGGATGTAAAATCGTAGAATCATAGAATCACTGAATAGTTTGGTTTGGAAGGGACCTTAAAGATCATCTAGTTCCAACTCCCTGGCCATGGGCAGGGACACATTCCACTAGACCAGCTTACTCACAGCTCCATACAGACTGGCCTTGAACACTTCCAGGGATGGGGAGTCCATAAACTCTCTGGCAACCTGTTCCTGTGCCTCACCACCCACCCTCACAGTAAAGAATTTCTTCCTAATGTCTGATCTAAACCTTCCCTTCTTCAGCTTAAGACCACTCCCCACATCCTGTCACTCCATGTCTGTGTAGAAGTCCCTCTTTGGCTCTCTTGTAAGACCTCTTTATGTACTATAAGACCTTTCTGAGGTTTCCTTGGAGCCTTTTCTTCTGCAGGCTGAAAGCCTGAAACAACCCTTAGGTAGATTCATTTGGGAAAACCCTGCATAAATCTTCGGTAGATTTACGAATTTGGATATTGATGATACATTACCATTACACAAAGGATGAACATATTTCATACTAGGTTTCAATAGCTTATAAGAACTTGAAAAAATCACGTGTTGATGCAGCAAACATAGTCTCGTGTGGCCAACTTGGAGGTGGTTTTGAATACCCGGTAAGGAGATTACAGAATGACAGAATGGTTTAGGTTGAAAAGAACTCAGATCACCAAGGCCAGTCATTATCCCAGCACTGCCAAGCCCATCACTAAACCATGTCCTCAGGTGCCACATCTACACGTATTTTAAATACCTACAGGGATGATGATTCCAACACTTCCCTGGGCAGACGATTCCAATGCTTGATAACCCTTTCCGTGAAGAAATTTTCCCTAATATCCAATCTAAACCTGGTGAAGCTTGAGGCTATTTCCTCTTGTTCTATTGCTTGTTACTTGGCAGAAGAGACTGACTTCCACCTGGCTACAACCTCCTTTACAAACACATTATTACATTGATTCATGCGGCAGAAGGGTAGGAAAGGTTTTGACCTTTAGGGCATTTAAACTGCATTTGTTTCTAGCTGATCAGTTATTCTGTATTGACCAATTGTTAATGATTACTTATGGGCTGGTTGGCTTTCCTTATCTACATCATAAAGTAAGCGTTTCTTACAGAAAATTGCCACAATTTTCCTTGATCTTTCTGAATCTCCTTGATTCAGCCTGAAGGAAGTACTAACCTCCTCAGTTCATGAAGGCTGTTGCCTTTTGGTCTTTTAAAGGGAATGTGCTGAGAAAAACATCACCACCAACCTCTATGTGGTCAATGAGCCATGGCTTTTCTCCCTGGCGTGGTGCTCTGGGGCACACTCTGTGACCACCAATGCTGTCCACACACTAAAGAATCTCAGCCAGCCACTCTTCCTCATGGTAAGTGAAAGTCTACCTTAACCCAGGGGTGGGAAGCAGGGTTGGGATGTTCATGGTTACTTTTGGAGATGGGTGATGATTTGGTACCCAGTGGTGAGTGACCCTTTTGAAATGCCACCAAGTGCTTTAAACACCCAAGGAATGTTACTACAGATGCAAACCAGGCAGCTGAATGGCTGCATTCGAGCAGCAAGAAAGAACTTGAGTAACTTTTTTTGCATATCTTGTGGTACTTGGTGGTGGACACAACATCTGTTCTCTTTCAGACCCCGCAGCAGTACAACATTATGTGGATCCTGACAGATCTGACCTCTGTGCTCCTCATCTCACTCATCTTTGCTCTGCACTGGTAATTACCAAGTTGCTAATGGCCTTCCTAACCTGGTCTTTTGCTCCAGGTGGAGGGAAGGAGGGATGCTTTCAGGTGATCTGAAGGGTTGGAACTACTCTTGAGAACATTACCTTTCACTTCCAGAAACGGAAGAAAGCCCTGAAAGACTGCCCAAACCTCTCTGCTTCTCCTGCTTGCTCTCATTTTCCCTTTCCATTTTGACAACTCAGGCATTGTCTACCTGCAGGATTCAGTGGAGAGCTGGTGAATTTACAGTAGCAACATAAACCAGTTATCAGAGCTGATGGGCTGAGAAAGGAACTGATTTTTCTATTATTACTATTAAAAAATATTTCATCGGGCATGTGAGGAAAAGCTTCTTCATGTGAGGAAAGCTCTCACTGTTAATGTTTGAGCTTCCCAGATCTCTCTGTTGGCACATGCCAGAGCCCCTGAGGAAATGTCTGAGTGTGTCACAGACACCACATTTTGTTTCATTCTACTCTGTCAAAGATAATTGGGAAATCTGGGGTTCATGGAACAGGCTCACCCCAGCAGGCCATGCTATGCTGCTGGATGTTCTGCTCTGCCACAGTCGTATAAGGAATGTGCCTGTGCTCTCATCCCAGTGGTGACCAAGAAAAGCAGGATGTGCTGGGCTCAGCTATTCAGCTGGCTGGCTGTGGGTAGGTGGAAGGACTAGACCTGCCAGCCCAGGGGAGTTTTCCACAGGGTCCTGGCAGCACACCTGTGCTGCAGGTGACAGCAAGTGGAAAGCTTGGGAAGGTCCTGGGTGAGCAGCGTGGATTGCTTGTAACTACGACTTGCTTTGGTGTGGGAAAAGGTTGGAGCACTAATTTTGCTCTGAGCTGGTAAAGAAATTAATTAGTAGCAGTTCTGCCTGATGTACAGGCATGTTACCTGGGCATCCAGGATTTTACCTTCCCAAGGCAAAGTGGTTCTCTCCCTTCTTTCTCCTCTCACCCTGCTCTGCTGTCCTTAGGTCCTGCTTTAGCAGCTTTCACCTTGTGTTCAACACTGCAGGTTGCAGAGTAGTACACAATCACCCCAGTAAAGCATCACCACCACCATCAGACCTTCTGATGTCTGTCTGCTCCAGGCTCATATTGATGTTGTGTGTGTATGTCCCAGGGCCCTGTGGATGCTTTTGGCCCAGCCAAACAACCACTTCTTCTGGGCTGGCCTTGCAGCAAGGGCATCCCCAGTCCTGCTGGGACCAAAGGGCCACCAGAAGTGCCTTGGTGCCCTGCATGGTCTTCTTTGTCAAGTTTATGAATGCACCAAAATCCTAATTTTTAAATTTCCCTGGCTAGTTAAGAACTGGTGACTGTAAGCATTTCTGGGGCTTTTGAGCACTTAAATATTGCTTAGAAAACAGGGCTTAGTCACAAAGTTGCTTTCAAAATGCTGTTGCACACGTGAAGTGTGGATGCTTAGACATCAGTCATGCATTGGAGTCCTTTCTCAGTAAGGACATGAGAAAAATCCCAAAATATCAGGCATTTCCTGCCCTCACAAGGTAGGAAAATGGTGTTCAGGACAGCAAGGAGCTGTGAGGAAAACCACAGCAAGCAGTGGCCTGATCTTGATGCTTTGCCCCACGCAGGTGGCGAGAGCGGAGTTTCTCCTGCTGTGCTCATGACAGTGACCAGATGATAGAGAGTACCACCTACAACAAGTTCAGAACAGGTGAGCAGGTAGAGAGCAGCTGCATCCTGCTCAGGGTGGTTTCTGTGGGGGCACCAGGGTCCTGAGGGATGGGTTGGTGATGGGTGTCCATACTGTGATGAAGGATACATCTTGGGTTGTCTCAGTCTCAGGTGCAGGCAACGGTGATTTCTTTGCTCTGTTCAGCACTGTGATGTCACATCTAGGCACTGGGTCAAGTTCAAGCTCCCCAGTGCCAAGCAGATTGTGACAAATGGGAACAAGCTCATTTGGACCACTAAGCTGGAGGACAGAGTATTTGAAATCTGGTTTTGCACAGTGGGAGAGATGGTCAAAGGGCACCTTATCACTGTCTGCAACCATCTAATGGGATGGTGCAGAGAAGAGGGAGTCAGATGTTACTTGGATGTGCAGTGACAACAGCATAAGCTGCAACCTTGGAAATTTTGACTAGACATACAGAGAAATGTTACCTATGAGGGTGGTAAGTCAACAGGTTGCCCAGAGAAGCTGTGGATGCCCCATCCCTGGCAGTGTTTGAGGTCACTTGAGCCCCATCCCTGGCAGTGTTTGAGGTCAGTTGAATGGGCCTTTGAGCAACCTGGTCCAGTGGGAGATGTCCCTGCCCATGGCAGGGTGGTTGGAACTAGATGATCTTTAAGGTCCCTTCCAACCCAAACCATTCTATCATTCAATGATTCTATGTTCAAACCCCTGGGTAGCTCAATCCAATTCACCCTGCTTCAAGCTGAGGTTGGGGCAGACCCTCCAGATGTCCCCTGCAATATAGATTAGTCTGTGATGCTGCAAAAGGAGACCCTGGAGGCACTGAGAACTCTTGGTTCTGCAATACAGGGTGGGATTGGCTGTGGACCCGCCCATGCACTATGCTTCTGCACCCATGGAGCTGTCATCCAGACAAAATGAACCAACCTGGGCTGCACACGTGTTCAGCCAGGTTCTGTTTGCTCACAGTGTCTGTCAAAACAAATGCAGATGTTTTGGTAGCTCACTGTGTGTCCCCTTTTCCAGAGCTCAGTGACATGCCTACCGCCCTGGCCTGACATGGGCAGAGAGGGCACGTGGACCTGCCGTGTTGATGAGGCTGGGAAGACCAGCTGTCGGGGCTCAGATCTGCCTGGTGAGGAGGAGGCATTTGCCTTTGCAACCCTGCTGGAGATGAGCATCGACCTTCCTCTCCTACAGCTTTTCTCACATTCCCACGCCTGGCAGGGATTCCTGGGGTGTAGGAGAGCACAGATGGAGCTGAATTCATGAAGAAACTGTGCACCATGATGAGATGCAGCAACCACATGGGAGCCACCATTTACCCCTGAGACCAC